GATCTATAGGACTAGCACAACCTGCAGTTTGTGCCTCTGAATAGACATTTTGACATGTCACAGTTGTAAAGAATAAAATCGATGATGACTGAATTACATTTAGCTGCTTGGTTTCAGGGTCCTGGTACTGTGCACACTGGCTAACACGCTGTCACAGCCTACTGGTAGGGCTGGGTGATATAGCCTAAAAATAAAATCTCTCTTTTTTTTGCATTGTGAAACGCGATCACATCTGCAATGTCTTATCCCCGGGGCCCCTTCTTCTCACATGGGATAATATAGGAAAATAATTCTACACTTTATTTGTAGATAACTGACTTGAGTAGATTGGGGCTTGTTTTACAAAGGCCTTAGCAGCTGTACAGTATATCCGCGTATTACAACATTCATAGTTTAAATCTCAATTTTACGATTAAGCAGTTTTGTGTTGTTTATATGTGAGTTTAAATTTCCTCCTCCTCCTCCTACTCCTACAAGACAGAGAAAATATATAGAAAATCTGTGAATCAGCAAACACACACAGATTAGGTGTTAAACGTAAAGCTGAAAGGTTATCAATAAACGAATAGAGCTAAGAAACTGTATGGAAATTTTTGGGCTAAAATATTGATATTTTATATCATCTGCATATTTAAAGGTTGCTGGGGGTTAAGATATGTTTGAATTTACTGTCTATATGTCCTGCTATTAGATCTCATGACATTTTTATGGTAGTTAAATTACTTCTTGCCACCATAGAGAGTATAAAAGTACAAAAATGTATTCCACTTTTAAGTAGAAGTCTTACCTTTTAGAATAAAAACACAATATATATCCATTTTAGACCTTGAAATGGTCCTTTCTGTAAAGCATTTAACTTGTTTAAGACAGCTTAAACTGAATGTAACTTTCATATTCAGCAAGTTTACAAGTGACAAGTCACCACTTCCAAGAAGTTAGGGACGTTTTGCATATTAAACTTAAAACTATTAATCTCAGGTTCGTGTACAATGGATCACTTGTTCAAACTCTTAGGTGAAAATGTGAGTTGAGTCTGCTCCGTCTAAACAAAATGAAAAGGAATCATGCCAATATGCAGTAAATCTTATGAATATTTATGACTGTGGTAAGATTTCAGATCTGTAAAATGTGCCAAGTTTCGACTGTCAACGCAGACTGAAATGCAATTATTATTAAAACTCATGAGCTGAATGAATCATAGTAAACTTTTAAGTTTACTGTATGCATCAGTGGCTTGGATATGTGATGGATGGATGGCTATGCTGTATGCATGATTCAATTATACACCAACAAAGTGGCATCCAACCAAGGCCATTTTAAAAAACATGAACGTACGTGTCTCCATCTTCATCTTGACGTGTGGCCAGAGCGATACCAGCCAGCAGGTTTTCGGTTTGGTGGACCAGAGGGTGGCTCGGCTCTGGGACAGGGAAACAGTACACTGGGTAGGGACCTGAGCAGAAAGAGAGGCAGAGACAGGAAGAGAGAGAGAAAGAAAAGTTGGGGGCAGAGAGGAAGAAGAAGAGAAAATGATAGACATACGTAAAAAAAAAATAATAATAATAATTTAAAAGCTGGCCTGGCAAACAAGTTATTTTTTTATAATAAGGAAGTGTGCAGCTGTGTGTGTATGTGTGTGCGCATGTCTCGCATTCAGTTATGAGTTGAGTAAGCTACATCTGTCAGTGCAGAGGATTGACTGGAGGTGAATGGCTGCAGAACTGCCTACTGGACATTTTCTCATTGATTCAGCAGTAGCAGCAGCATCACCTGCGGCTACAGTGTCATTTCTAACCCCTGTGAAACACCAGTGACCAGTGTTGATATTGAAGAATTTGGAGGCTGTGCTCTGCTACTGTTTTAAAAATCAAAATAGCATCATACATGTTATCCCAAAAGAACATTCTAAGAGCCCCCCGCATTTTTTAAACTGTATCTCTAACTTAAGCTTACAATTCAAGAGTGTACAGAGATCCTGCATGCATGTATGATTCATTTGGCCATACATTTAATAGTTTTCTTAGAAAATAGCAAACCAAATACTTAAGATGTGAACATGCAAATTCTGAAGTGTAACTAAGTTCAGATATGATTCCTGTTACATATAGGGCTTAATCAAAATGAAAACCATGAACGCTTACTGTAATCAAACGGCTGCAAAAAGCGGATTGGATATCCATTTGGACTCTGTCGTGCCTCTTCATCCCGCCTGGGAGTCACCGGTGCTGCGCCGATCCTACTTTCATCCGCGGCTCGATCGGCAAAACTTTCCCGAAGCGTGAAGTCCGCTTCTACCGCAGGGGAAACGCGGTCTGCACTCTGTGGCAGAGCCGGTGACTGCCTTTGGGTCTCTTCGACAGGAATCGGGCGTTTCCTAAAAGGAAGCCTGGAGGAAGATTTGTCTGCTGGTCGTTTGCGAGAAGCACCGGTTTCTGAGCCCGATGTGCCCGGTGTGACGGCGGGGCAGCTGTCCGCTCCCGTGTACGCAGAGAGTGCAGGTGAGCCGCCTGTCATCCGAGAGTCCCTGACGCGACCTTTGCAGTCCGTAGTCCTCGACCCGGCGCTCCCACGCTCTCGGTTAGTGGTGCGCAAATCCAGCGGCGCTGTGCCAACCGACTGGTGGTCACCGTTCATGGTCATGATCCTCGGCATCAACCGGGGACGAGGCGCTCAGGATCTGAAGAGGTTTTCAGGTGTGTGAGCGTGAAGACAACTTCCAGACGTTCAGTGACAGTTTGGTGGGATCAGTCCGTCCAAACTGGCCAATAGTGCGCAATTCCCATCCTCATGAAATTAAATGGGCAGCGATCAAATCATCACTGTTTCCTTTTGTGTCACTGGTGTATTTTAGGTAAGCGTATTGACTCGGAATACAAATGTAGAAGAAGAGCAAATAGACGTTTGGTGAAGATAATGTGTGTCCCTGCACACCTATGGTAACAAATGCAGGTACAGTGCAGCTGCGCCAGCGCTCATCTGCCTTTAATGAACACAATCAGAGTGACTACGGTGGTTTCCCTTTCAAACCGAAACAAAGCGATTGACTTAAGTGCAAATTATACCGGGTGAGGGAAGAGAAGAGAAAACACTGCGTTGAATTCACAATAATTTCTGCATTTCCGACTTCTCTGACATCTGTCTGTTTTGCATGCAAGATCAAAACATGTGAATTTCTTAAGAAGTTCTAGGATGACGGATCGATGCTTTTAGCAGTGGTGTTTTGGGCACATTGTTGTGCAAATTGTGACGGCAGGTCAGAAAAACAGGACCACATCTGAGCCTTTAATGAATGAAACAACATGAATTCAGTGACGGTTGTTTTTTATTTTCATTGTAATGTTATTTTTCTTTGATTTTGAATGGTACAGTTAGAGTTAGTAAAAGCTTAAATATGACAAACTGCTCTTTCTGAGGATCAGTTACAGTTTCATACAGCATGAAGAGAATGGTTAAAGATTTAAAGACTTTAAAGTAACAATTTGAGAGTCTGGTCTGGTTAGTCTTTTGTAAAATAAGTAAAATGAAAGTGGTGCCTTCATTTAAAGTGTTTTCTTTTCACAGGCTGTCCTACTTTATAGGTCAGAATCTTATATATACCGTCAATGGTCAGAATGAAACAAGGAAATACTGACTTAAACAACACACAATGAGCAGAATTAGATACGTTTACTATGAAATTGGGTGTATGACTGTTTTGAGGTGACTTCCTTTTTTAACTGTTCTGTGCTCTCTTGATGATGTCATGGAAGTTATTTTTTTCTTCTATTTGTTATGTTATTTTGATCACGTGTTTCAGCAGTCATAATTTTTATTTTCACACTTCTGTCTCAAAACGTCACACAATGTCCTATTTTTGCTGATCTTATTAAAGTATAGAACCGGCAAACAGTCCCAGTTTTGTGACAGCTGCTGTACTGTTTTACAAGTGACTTACAGTCACAACGTGATGTATTTTTCTGCAACTATATGAACTCATAACACTGTAAGCAAGATATTAAAGCTCAAGTATAAGCCTAATGCTTTAGCTCTAATGCTCTAGATTGATTTGCACTCTGGTGTTTGGAGGAATTGTAGATTTGAATATTGAGATGTTGCAAGTTGCAGTCCATCAGATGCACAGTTTCATATCACTGATTTATTAGTAAATCGGTTGCCTCGGGTTGGTGAAATGTGACCAGACTTTGCAGATCAAGAGCTGAACTTGAACTTGAAAGAAATGTAAGTTGAAAAATAAAAGCATTCAGAGAGGAGATGCCCTATCTTAACTGACGATCACCTGACGCCATGTCACTGTTGCCCTGCATCTGGCCATGTTACCTGATCACACACACTTGTAGGAAACATAAATCTGTCTACACAAGCATATGCACACACATAAATCACACCTCATCTCCTTGTCCTTTAATCTTATCCTACTCCACCCTCATACCAGGCTCTGATTACCAGGGTCAATTTGGGACTTTCCTCTTTCCACTGAAGTGTGGAGCTGGCAACGGAAAGTCAAGCTTGGTGTCTAAAGTCCCTAAAAGACCCTGACACTACACAAACATGCTCTGCAGCTGTCAAGGCACTCAACCATTATGGTCTCATTAGACTTTAGGTATCATTGCTTATGAAAAAAGGAAAACACTTGGGCCTACCTCTTTCAGTTCAGTTTGTTCAGTTCATCCTGAACACACATTTGACAGAGCTTAATAAAAGCTTAATGAAGGAAACGTTTACTGTTTAAAAAATCTTCAGGAGCATACAAATATATGTAAATGGGAAAATTCCCATATCCCTTTAGTATTATTCTGAGACACTGCTGCATGAGTAGTCATCAGTGGCACAGATCATGAGGTAATCTGAATACAAACTAATGAAATAAGGCCCCCTTGTGCCAAGAGAGCAAAGGTGCAACTAGACTCTAAAATGGTCAAAGGAAACTAAACATTTTGAAATACAACTATATAGAATTAACCTACATTTAGATGACAAACTTCTACTCCTTTAGCTGTTGAGTAAGTGGCTTTGACATTTGTCTTCCATAGCAGTTGGCAGGAGACAATCTAGCAAGTACTTTTGTTGAGCCATAAGATTTTAGTATTTTTCGGGCAAATAAAGTTGGAAACTGACATTTAAATGAGTTAAATAATCAGATTTCAGTGAAAAACACTAACCTGGGTTAGCAGTGTCTGAGTAAGTGTCTCCCTCTTGTGTAAGCAGAGGTTAATGCAGGTTAGTTCAGATAGAGTGCAATGTGGTGTTTAGATACAAGCAGTTTTCATGAGAAATGTATCTTTTCTTTACTCACAAGAATTAGAAATAAATAATTCATCCACTGCAATGTGTACAACACCTGGTGACTGCATAAATGATATGAGTTCTGGACACAAAATATGTAATATTAGATTGAATATATTGTTTTATAAACTATACAATAATCAGAACTTCTGAACTGAGTTTGGTAGCACTGGCTGTCAGTGGTGAAAAATAACTCAAGTTATTAATATTTACTCAAGTACTGTACTTGAGGAACATGTACTTTACCATTATTACCATAATGTAATTATACACCACATTTCAGAGGCAGATATTGTCCTTTTACGTCACTACATTTATTTGACAACTTTAGTTACTAGTTACTTTACAGATTCTGATTAATAATACAAAACGTTACCAAAAAATCAACTATATTACAGATTAAGATAAAACTTTATTAATCTGTATTGAGTAGACCTAGTTAAAATGAGCCCCACCTTTACCAGCTTCGACATTAAAGTAATGCACACATTAATGCATCAATTATTATAATCCAAAAACATAATATGTTATTCTGAAACGGACCATTCTGCATACTGAATACTTTTGGTACTATTAAGTATATTTTGATGCCAATACGTTTGGTCTTTTAGGCCACATAAGTAACATTTTGAGTGCATGACTTTTACAGTACTTTTTCTACTTCTACACTATAGTATTGATACTTTTATGTAAACGTGTGATGTGAGTAATTCTTCCACTGCACACTTTCAGCTTGTACACATTATTTGTCTCTTACACATCAGTGACTATGATTGACTGATTATGACTGATTATAGAAAAGCAACTTTTATAGACACATAAGAAATAGAAATAGACACATAAGCACGCAAATGATTCATGAACCAAAATCAAACTTTGGTACAGCCGTAACTAAGTACTCAAATGAATGTGTATGAATGGGTGAATGTGGCATGCAGCGCTTTGAGACTAGAACGGTGCTATATAAGTACAGTCCAATTATCATTCAAATGCTGTACCAAGTACAATTATGACGGATTGGTACTTTACTTGACTACTTTAGTTACTTTACAGAGATTATTAATACAAAATAAAATCAACAGATAAATTATGGCATATAGGCTTATAATTAGAAATAAAGCTATATCTTTAGAGCTTAACTGCTATGTATATTTAGCATTATATAAAGTAATTAAAATGTGCTCCACCTTTACCAGCTACAACATAAAAGTTATGCTCACACAATAATGTATTAATAATTACAATCTAATTATATAATATATATTTGGTCATTCTAGATAATGAATACTATTTATTTTTGGTACTCTAAGTACATTTTGTTGCTGATACTTTTGTACTTCACCAAATTTAATGGCAATCTCTTCAATAGTTTTTGAGACAATTTACTCAAAAAGTGCAAAAATAAAGTCCCACACACTGTCTAACTTGCAATATAACATTTATTTGCGATGCTTTGGTACTAGACTTTCATCAGCCAAATGGTTTATGACAATGAGAAGTCATCTTAAAATAGGGAGTGGCTACAAGTCTGCAAACAATCATTCCCCACATGCAGTAGGAAGGCATAATAACAAACATCATTTTACAATGTGAGAGCCTCCAAATCTTCTCAAAAATGCTTCTCATTGTCATAAACCATTTGCCTGATGGAGGCCTAGTACTGAAACATTGCAAATAAATGTTACATTGCAAATTAGGCAGTGTGCAGGAGTTTATTTTTGCA